CCATCCTGACATACTTATTACTTATGCTACTTTTTAAGGAACAAGTACCCTTTAGAAAATATTAACTAAAATATACCCCCAAAAATATTTATTTAAAACCATTTCTATAATGTCATGATATAATAAATAATAATATATTTACTTATACTGAAGATACACTCCAGATATCAAAACATTGTTTTAATTTTACAAGTACATGTATGTGAATAATTGTAAACTCAAGCTAAAACTCTATAATCCAAGCATGTATTTATAATGTTAGATAATATTAAAGACCTTTATCCATATTACACAAAATTTTGTTGGAAATGATTGCTTACCATCCTTCAGGATTATATTTATGCCAAAGTTTTTCACTTTTATTTTACTTTTTCATATTTGGTTACTTTACTGTTGGCCATTAGTTGGGAAAACCAATAAATGGAGACAACTCGAAATGTAAATTAGATTTACCTACATGTACATGTCATTTATTCTATTTAGTAGTTTACTCAGTATACTAAGGTGACAGAACACCTGCCTTGTACACAGGTATTATTCCATGCTACATGTATTAATGTACGTATGTACATGTACAAACTACAATGTACATTTGGACATATAAGTACCTGAAGTAAAATTAATGTTCTTGTCACAATACATAATGATATTAAACTATTCAACTGACTTCTATTAAAATAGTCTGATAGTGCTGCTGCTACAATTAGGCCATCTGCTGTCTAGCTTTTGATTCATTCTAGCCAGTCCATTTATAATAAAGAAATGATTTGCTCAGAATAGAAAATTCTTGATTCTAATTACATTTCGTTGATATTTTGGAATGTAAAACACACAAAAAACTTTGGTCATTAAATCTACGCTATCAGTGTCTGGATATTTTAAAATGATCTTCTAAAGAACTTATTTCAGAATAACTCCCCTCAAATTTTGAAATGAATAGTTTCTATTGTATTTCTCCATATCGCTCTTTGAAAATAACCTGGTAAAACTTGCCAGAAAATTGTTGGGCTTTATAATTCATTTCTTTTTAACAAAGCTGTCGCAATCATGTTTAAAGAGACAAAATGGTTGAGACCTGTCAGTTTGTGTACCAACAAGGTCTTTGATAATTGTTGTTTCTTAAAAGAATATGTTGGTTTTGCAGTTCAGTATTGAAAGTACATGTAGAAAAATCAGTACTGACATTGGCTGCAGTTTTCTCAATATATTAAGACACTGGTTTTGTTCAATTCTAAACGGCTTGAACATCACTTAAAAAATCTGTGAAATCAATCAATCCAATGCTAAGTTTAACATCCAGGTGATTATCTCCATGTTTCCCGTTATTTACTCTATCATTCTCACGCAATTAACAAAAATAAACAATCGTGTAAGAAAATTCCTCCTTAGCCAGTCAAATCCTTGTTTATTACATGTACATGCTTAACATGTTGCTCAACATAAAGCCAGATTGACTCACACTGGACAGTAAATTGTAATTAAATATCTCTAGAAGAAAGAATTAAATAACAAAGTTTACAGATGATTGAACAGACTGCATATTCAAGATTAAATTGCTTGAATTTTTGGAGATGTTGGACATATGAACATGAAGATCCGATACATTAGTAAATGTCCTAACATTTCTGGGATGAAATTAAGAAACAATTGGATTTATCTCAACATCTATGAATTTACACTGAACAGTAACTTTATTGTTCAACTTTTGAAAATGACTGCCCTCATTTATTTGACCTTAACAGAAATGATCTTATCCAATCATTTTTATGAAAGTTACTGACTGATCACACCCATTTATCAACTGCATTTCAAGAAATAACTCTGCATATTAAATATGATACCAATTTTAAAACCTTTAGTGCTTCAATGAAATTCAAGTTTTTCATATTTTAAAAATCAAGTAATATATAGCGTTAACAGAAATGATCCCATTCAAATAGTTTATAGGGTTGAGTTTTCACCAATCAGTATAATAAATCAATAGTATATGAAATAAATCTACAGAGTGTTAGGTTCATTGATTCATATCAGACCATTAACACCTTCTAGTCAACGGTCAGATTAATGTCAGCTGGGGAAATCTATGATGACATGTAAGACTTTGTGACCAATTGATCCCCTTTAGATAATTGTACATATACATGGCCTCACGATTTTCATGATGTTAATGTAGGCCTGCTACAAGTCCACAATGATTTCCACCATATCTTTCATTGAACTCGCATGCTATCAATATATTTATCATCTCTTAATCTGTTTAATTTCTGGGATTAAATGTTTACTTTTATACACCAGACATTTATTTCACACAATAAATATATATTTTTATGTTCAATATCTTAATGACTTAGACAAAGTGGCTAATCTAAGTAAAGAGTTTAGTGTTTTCAAGTGACCGAAAAGTTCACATCTAATCTCAATTGATCTCAATCTAATGTCCAGGATTAAATATATCATAGATAAAAGATATGGTTCAATGATTTGATGAAACTATTGACAGATTTAACCCCTTGATGACCAAAGGAATGTTGGTTAAGTTAACTCAAGATTATACTTAGTTTGAAAATACTGGTACATGTGTCAATGACCAATTTGGCATGCAAATAAATTTACTTCTTTTTGAGACCTGCAAATGTTACTTATATGTAAGACATAGAAAAAAGAATAATCCATAAAGAACTAGCAACTAAATCATAAACCTTTCAGGGGATATTATCTGAATATCATCAATCTACAAAGTACATGAAATGAAATGGGGTTTAACATCCTACTATTCTGCTCGGACTGGGCTAATGAAAAGGGACAAAGTACATGAACAGATGAAATTCCATTTATTCTTAATTGATTAGACACATGTACAGCTAAATGTACATGTTTATGTTGATAGCTTACAAATTACATTCTCATGAAGAACATAAAAGTACACACAATATTTTGTACAGCAAAGAACCAAATCCATTAAACACCTTTTTGACATTAGATGTTATGGATATGAATGATAGAATGAATTAATTTAACTATAGTGTAAATTGGACTGAAGAAGCAGTAATAAATTGTTTGGGCTTAAATGTGTTGACTACATGACTGACATTGACTCAGTTCAAACCTTTTTATCTCATTGTTATAATAACACTTGCACCTCTACCAGGGTAAAATAAACTTTCTTCTACAAGCATTTCAAATGCCAATAAAACTGTACTGAATAACACAGTAAGGTCCAAAACATCAAACCACCTTCAGTTCATATCAAATAACAATCCTTCACATCTCAAACTAAATGACATTCTTAATTAAAAGTTAAATCAATTAAATCCACAATGGACTGTTTTCTTTTTGTAGTGTCAGGCATTTCAGATTTAAGTCAAAGTTTACACTTCACTATGTATATTTCTTCAAAAGAATTTAAATTATATAGAAATCGTGTTAGGCATGAAACTAAATTGCCTATAAAAACAATTAAAGGTTTTGGGCATCATTAGTGGTGTTTTAAATACTATTCATTTAACATAATAAAAGTTCAATAATCTTAATATCACATTTAGTAAATTTCTGAATAAATGATGGAAAAGATTAAGTTTGATTGCACAATATTTTCTTCATACCATTATTATTATACCACACATAATTGTTATAATATAGCATACCAATATACCATACTGTACTAATGTTGGTAATGTATATATTATCTTAATGTTCAATATTCCCTTCTACAATTACACACTTTATATCATATTCCCTTATGATAAATCACAGATTGTATGATATACATACATTAATATACATACATCAAGCTATACATCACAGCTTTGTATTAATATTTGCATAAGCATCATTCATAATATAGAATAGTATGTAATATGATCCTATTGAAAGACATGGATACTTGTCACTGATTTCACAATACAGAAAGATGAACCTCTTTTCAATTTCTAAAAATTTACACTCAGTTGTTTATTTAGAGAATTACTGAGCTCAAATAACCAGATAGTCACACATGTGTAACTTACAATCTTGGGTAATATACTTATTAGTTTCAATGAAAAAGAAACAACGATCCTCCTTTCAGTCTTTGTTAAGACTTGAGAATCAACAAATTTATTTCATTTCCGGCCATTAAAAAAGACCAAACACTATCTGCATGAATTTACGAATATCAAATCTAATTCCTTGAAGTCTGTAATCAAGAACATGTAGCTAACTGACATTATTCCATAAGATTTGCACACTTAATAACAGTTTGTTGTCTATCATAATATATCTTTTTTGAACAAAAGGTTCTAAATCACTAATAAAAAGATAAATCAGATAATTAAAGTTTTTAATTACAAATTTAGCATTTTATTTGTTGCCGAGTTTTTCTTCTTAAAAATAAATCTGATTAAAATAAACAATATCATTATAGCTGTAAATAAACATCACATAATCAACTATAAAATTGTTGATCAAATGTAAATATCACAGATAAGGAGTAAATTAAAAATCGATCCATTTCCACTAATTCTTAACAGCTATGCATTGTATGTAACCTAAACTCTTAACCTTTTCCCTTGGTCACATTAGCAAGATATTTTTTTTCAAAGAATGTGACACTTTTTAGTTAAAGCATAAATACTAGGAATACAACCACACATTTATCTATTATGTTTTATGTGCTTTTAAAATATGTAAATTTATAGTACTATATGTAAATTGACAGGGATCAATTCTCCAGCTGGTAAATTTCAGTACCAGTTTGCCAAGTATGTATGGCAAAATATGACCAAAGTGAAGGCAATGATGAGTTGTGGATACAAATTCTGGTATCTAGTCAACATATTTACATGAATTATAAATAACTTCCAATAAAAAAAGAAATTATCTGTAAAATTTCATAATTTAAAAAAAGTAATTAGTGATATAAAATTCCTTTAATAAGATAAGAAATTCTACAAAATAAATTTAAGAAAGAACATCACACATAAAGAAACCCTTAAAACATTTTATATTTAAATTATTCCTACCATTGTCAGATCAGTATCTCGAATTCTCCTCACAACAAAATCCCAACTATTGATTTAATTCCTTGGGACAGACGGTTTCATAGCGTTCATATTGCTCACACAGCAGCGCAGTGTTTCACTTTCATGGTATTTTTTACTGAATAAAACTCACCAGCAAATTTTGGTCTCTTATCTTTCAGTTTTTACAATTAATCCTTTCTTGTATTGTTAAATTATTTTAGCAATGTTTTCAATAGCCAGCAGGTGACTTTATGTCTCTTATTCTAATGTCACGAGCCTAATCGACGGCTTGCAGGAATATGCTAATTGAAAATCGTTACAATGCACGTGCGGGTTGGAAAAGAAAATAGACTTTAAAATGATCGTGCGAATTTCCACTTGGGTGTAAATGTGAAAAAAAACCTAAAAGAATATGACGTTTGTACTTACAGACAAAAAAATGTAGTCACATGTAAACGGCTTCTGTTCACTAACCCTCCAGTAGGACCAGTATCCTTTCATTGAATGACATCTCTTTGAAGTCACCGCTCGCTTTGCTGTTCACGGCTCGCATTGCACTATTTTTAGTAACAGTATTTACAACCAATCGAATTCCATGTCTATCTTTAGGTGCGCTCCTGCGGTGATAACAACATGGAGGACAAAAATGTAAACATTCTTTTGGAAACGGTTTAAAAAGATTATTTTAGGCACAAAAAACAAAACGTTTTGTTCTTTTAATTATAATTTCAAGCACTATAGGAAGATTCTTCAAAATGGTAAAACAAACTATACAGATATTTGCCCGTGTGAAGCCAACGAAGGGAAAATCATGTGTAAGTGATTCGTGAAGCGATTTATATTTATTTATTACTGTCTGAACCATCGTAAATTTTAAACGGATTTCTTCGATTATGATCAAACTACTTACTTACCTGTGTGTTTGAAATCAACTCCCGTTAATTAAAATCCATTGCACAATTTAATATCCCAACGAATAAAAAAGTTATCTCCTGAAAAAATTGACGTATTTACTTGTTTGTAGTGTAGGCCTATTTTTGACTGAGTTCAAGACAACATGGCTTTCCTCCCGTGTTGGACGAAACCATTAAATCTGTTGTGGGGTATGACAGAGATTTTGACAACCACATGCTGCAATCAAAACAAAGCGTCCTCATTTCGATCGTTTGAGTTAATATTGGGCAACGAAAAATATCAACTGAAGACAGTTTTGACCGTATTGTGATATGGAGCAATATTTATTGTTCATGATGAAAATATATTCTTTATCAATTATTTTTTCAAGACAACATGGCTTTCCTCCCGTGTTGGACGAAACCATTGAATCTGTTGTGGGGTATGACAGAGATTTTGACAACCACATGCTGCAATCAAAACAAAGCGTTCTCATTTCGATCGTTTGAGTTAATTGGGCAACGAAAAATATCAACTGAAGACAATTTTGACCGTATTGTGATATGGAGCAATATTTATTGTTCATGATGAAAATATATTCTTTATCAATTATTTTTTTTTTTAATTTATACTTAAATCACACCATAGCCCCCACCTTCAATAGAAGCCTTAATCTCGCTTTAACTACGTACATCTTATCAGATGTTGAAAAACTCATAGTCATTGCTTCGTAGTGTTCAAAAGAAAAATTATTCACCCGACTCTAATCAAAAATATGATTAAAACAAAATATTTCAAAAGGTAAAAGCTATAAACTTTGCAGAGATTTTACTAGAATGTTAAAGATAGTAACAAAATAAAGGAATACGGGCAGTTATGTGTGGGAACGCCCAAACTCAATACCAAGCCGGGATTACACAAAACTTGAATTGTCGTAAAAGTACCGCAAACCGTGACATCTTGTAACCCCTTTATACGAAATGATCTCTCCCGAAGAGTGACGTAATTACTTATCATTATCACTCACCCAAATTAAGGCCAAGGGACCAATCAAAGAAAGAAACTAAATATACCTTACCTCTCTTTAAAGAAGCTAAATCTCTATTCTTTTAATCTCTGGCATCAAGCAAATGGGTCACAATGCATATAAAAATGTAATATGAATATAAACTGATTTACATTCAATCGTTTCTGTTTTTACTGTAATTTCTAATCAGTTAATGGCAGTCTTCGACGTTTGGTCATTCCAGTCTACATTGGTAGTATTAACCCCTGTGGGGTATGTTTAGCTTCGTTCATCGAGTCGCATTATTACTAATGGTACGCAATTCGTCTGCCAATTTTAAAATTTTCATTTTGTCTTATATATACTATTCAAAAAAAGTAGGGGATATTTGATTTTGGGGGCATAATACTAAAATATGCAAATGACTACGAAAAAAGTCACTATAGAACCTAACAGAAGAAACATTTCCAGTTACATGTGACGCCCAAACGCACCAATAGCTACCGCATGGAATGCAGGTGATGCTTGGGATCATCATGGGGGTCCAACCCAAGATTTGCACGACTCTGACTTTGAATGTTACAGTCATTGTGGCATTGAATTCCAGGGTGGAAACATCAGTTTAATTGTTTTAGTGACCAGAAAACAAATTTTGATATTCGTCGGCTTACCCAAAATGAAAGGTTACGTGCCCTTGGCATGCTACAGATCGGCACAACACAGGCGGTTGTGGCACAGACGATGAATGTTTCTCAGTCTGTCATAAGCAGGCTATGGTCCAGATACCGTGATACACAATCTGTACAGGACAGACCACGCTCAGGTCGACCAAGGGCGACAACTCAAGCCCAGGATCGATTTATCCGTACCTTGGCCTTGAGAAATCGTGTCATCACAGCAAATCAGATCAGCGCTCGTCTTCAAACAGACACTGGTGTGAGAGTGAGTGGCTAGACGATTCGGAATCGACTGCATAGGGGTCACCTTCGCGCCCGACGTCCTCGCGTGATCCCTTGTTTGAGAGATCATCACATTCAGGCAAGACGTCGTTGGTGTAGGGATCGCCAACACTGGGATAATCGACGCTGGAGCAATGTGATGTTTTCAGATTAGTCAAGGTTCACTGTTGATTTTTTGGACAGACGTAGGAGGGTGTGGCGTCGTCGAAACGAGCGCTTCCAAGACGTTAACGTCATCAGACATGATCGATTTGGGGGTGGTTCTGTTATGGTGTGGGGAGGCATCACTGTTGCTGGAAGAACGGCTTTACATGTTGTTGCAGGGCGTGTTACAGGCCAGTACTACCGGGACAACATCTTGGCAGTCCATGTTGAGCCGTTCGCACGACGTCATGGCCGCCGTTTCATCTTCCAGGATGACAACGCAAGATGTCACAGGGCCAGGATCGTTACAGGTTACCTCCAACAACAGAACATCACCACATTACCTTGGCCAGCACTGAGTCCCGACCTCTCCCCCATCGAGCATGTCTGGGACATGCTTGGACAGAGGTTACGTCAACGTCAACAACGTCCTGCCAATGTCCAAGAACTTGCTGCTGCGTTGCAACAGGAATGGGACAATCTGGACCAAAATGACCTTAGACGTCTCATTAGGAGTATGCCACGTCGGATCAATGCTTGTTTGGCAAACAGAGGAGGATTTACCCGTTACTGACTTGGTTGTGATGCTGTGGTAACTTTGCTGTTTGACCCCGGGTATCATTTTACCCTTATAATGGTCAGTCTGTGCCTTACTTAGTCTAATGATCATTTGGAATAAATCGATGAATGTGAACTTCATTTTATTTTGTCATTTGTTTCTTCGTCAGTTTCATTAGGTGACTTTAATAACACTTAAAAATCAAATATCCCCTACTTTTTTTGAATAGTATATATTGGATATCAGTAGCCCATCTTTTCATGGTAAGATAACATCAATGTTGATTTAAACTTAAAGTGACCAATAACTTTTGTTAGCTATGTTGAAGACTGTAGATGACATTGACTCAGTTAAAGAATTGCCTCCTTTAACCCGTTAAGTGCGTAAGTCGTTATATAATGTCCTGGACAACTGCCACTCACTGTGTGTAGGGCGTAATATTACGCCTTGGAGGTATTTTCCCCAACCTATTCTTAGAACATAGTTCGTCACTTAAGGTAATCCCTAGTTCCGCCTGTGAACAGGCCCTAACCTAATTAACCGATATTTTAATTCCTACATCAACGATTTTAGTCGAAAACACTGAGTATGCTTTAAGAAATTTTTAGAAGTATTTATTTCTCTTCTATTGTCATATTGAATCAAATTAAATATGTTTAATTAGTCGTTGTGTGTATGAAATATGTCAAACTTATCAGAGCCGAATCACAAAATAGTCCTCTAATTATTCAATATGGCGGCACCCATGAAAGATAATTTCACAGAGGCAGTTTTGTTTGCAAAGACAAATTTAGGAATATCTAACCTTGTTTTGCAAGATAAACAGATTGAAACTCTAAAGACAGTTTACAATGGTAAAGACTATAACTTGAAACTTTTAGAATACATTACAAATGGGTGGATTAAGCCAAAAATGTCAACAACAATTTTACGATTATCTACCCTTTGAAGATAAAGTCAGATTTTCAACTATTTAAAAATATTTGTCAATAGGATTCGTCTCTCAACTTTTTAGAGTAATCTCATAAAGTTAAAATTCACTGGAAAGTGCCACCATTTTAAAAATGTAAGTCAATCTTCAAAATCCTACTCGTCCTACAATTTTTATCCAATTTTCAATATTGTCACATTTTTGGAAAGCATTCACAATTCACAATTGATCGGCGTGTTTAGAATTTTGATATTTGACCAAGATTTTTTTAAAGTGATGTCATAAAATTGAAGTTTTTTTAAAAAAGTGTAAGACTTTGAAATCAGGTAAAATGTCAATGACAAACGATAAATTGAGTCATTTGGTGCATACATGTATTCTGAAAGTTTTATCAAAATCAGATTATAAATTAAACTGATAGATCATGGCACAGCACCTTTAATATTGGTTATGTTTAATTTAAATGTTTTCCAAAATATGGTATGTGCTTTTGGCTTCTACAGTGAAAATAAGTCATTTGAGTATGTAATTGTTTGCCATCGAATTTATATAACACGTCTATACACATTGCTGTGCAACAAAAGGAACCCTTGGCAGTTTGAATTCGAAATACGAGTAGATCGTAGTGCCACTGTCCGGGGAAAAAATTTCTTTTTAGTACACTGCATGATAGGGCGTCCAGAGGTTCCACATACACAGTGGCATTCATGTAAAAGAATCATTGACAGAATTCGAAATAAAAACAGACCAGAGTGCTGCTGTCCAGGTAAAATTTCCCACATAGCACACTGCAAAGCATATGTCCGTCTGCAATGGACCAGTTAGTCTAGGTACAATGTAGCTCAATTAGCACACATTTCGCTCACTAACCGAGAGGACAGGGTTTGTTCCCAGTGTCGGCCATTTATATTTTTAAAACTTTTTCAATTTTATCAAGTCACAGTCAACAACATACATTACTTTACTGTATATTTGTAATTAATGTATAATTTTGTGATAATCTAGTATAAAAACACCAATTCTACATGTAGTTATTACTAAGATAATTACTCCTTTTTTCTGTCCATTTTTATTTCTCAGAAATTTGTGATCAGACCGGAAGTGATATAAAGCTTGCAGGAGTACACGTACACAATCATTGCCCATAATTCTGTTAATATTCAACCGATTTTTATATGCCCACATTGAAATGGGTGGTGGTTATTGCTTAAAGCTACATGTATTTACAAAATTTGTGAGCAAACCAGAAGTGGTGTAAAACTGGCATGTGTGCATGTGCACACACATTGCCCATAATTCTGTTAATATTCAACCGATTTTTATTCGCCCACATTGAAATGTGGTTGTATAAATTCATGGCCCCGCCCGTCAGTCTGTAGTCCACAATTGCTTGAGGACGCTCTAGAGGCTAATGTAAATATCCGATTGACTTTAAATTTATGCACAGTGTTTAAGGTCATAATTACTGCCAGAGTTATAGCCCTTGATCAATTTGAATACGCTTATATCTCTCAAGAAGTGCTTATCGGATCATTGTGATCGTTCCGATTTTAACGTGAAAGTTGTTGTTACATGTAGTGCGGTCCTCCTGCACTTACTATTAGTATCAATGACTGTAAAACATCAAAATTTGTTGTTTCTTGAATTAATCATCAGATTTTCACCTTTGATACATTTTTGCTTTGCAACTTCAGATGTTTTATTTTCATCAAATCTTCACAGATATTTTGCTTAGACGATATTTATGTACTGGTATTCAGTTTATGGGTTTCTAAAATAATTATTTATTGTAAAGTTCATATTATGGTCAGAGGTGAAAATTGTAAAATCTTTTATTATCAATAAAGTTTTTTGTCATAATTTTGACAAAAACTCAATCTTGACCAGTTTAGAACATGTTTTCGGAAGCAAATTTTAAATTTTGTTAAATCTGATCTATGTAGAAGGAAGTGTCTAGTAAAATTGTTGTGTTCATTTTTTTACACATTATTGCACTATTATGATTTGAAGGTCAAAAAATTTTTAAATTGTATGAGTCACTGTTCAAGTTGATTAGCTTGTAAAATAGTCAATTGCTGTCCGATTTTCATAAAATAATATCACTATATGACAATACCTGTTACTCAAACTGATTAAAACAGATCTAAATTTTGTTTCGTTTTTTTATACTTTCGATGGCCTACACTACATGAAGCTCTGACAAGTTGTACTCGAAGGTCGTGTCAGGGGTCATACAAGCGGCTTTTGACCCTATGACGTCAGACATTGATTAATCAATCAGTGTTGACATTTCTATTGGTTTACCCACAGTTCCGTGCATGGCAAGCCAAGAAGTCGCCGTAACAGACCATTTCATTGACTTATCCCTCACTTCAACCAAAACGCCAGTAATATAACAACTCTTCCAGATCCTAGTGTAGTAAAGACAAGTAAAACGAAATTTTGAACTATAAAAAATGAAACAAAATAGGATCTGTGTAATTTAATCAGACCACCTGTTACTTCAAATTGATTACAAATTCTCAAAACAAATATATATTTTATTTAAAGTAGCTAAGTCTCTAACTCGGTATCATCCGAAATCTTCGACATTGAAAACACAAATTATTTGTCAATTTAAATTAACATTAATGTTGTGATCTTATCAGGAAAATATAAGCTTCTAATATCCAATACACATTTTACGATTGGAAGACGAATCGTGTACCATAATGCGTTTCAGCACCATTTGTAACAAGGGACTCGTAGAACGAGGTTAGATATATTCCACTAGTCTGTAATCATGTCAAACGCGGACCTCATATTCTTATCTGGAGAGCATGCCCAATAAATACTAATTATCAGTATAGACTGGAATAACCACACGCAAGAGATTGCCATTCGATTGAGACATCTGGCATATTTCGCCGAACATAATTGTTTAGAAATTACACTAAAACAGAAATGATTGAATGAAAATCAGTTTATATATACATTCATATTACATTATTATATGCGTTGCGACACATTTGTGTCAATTTTTAGGTCCGAAAAATTAGCTATTTAGTTCCTTTAAATAAGCTCTATTTGTTTCGTTTTTATAATTTCCGTTTTCAAGTTAAATCAACAAATAGCATAAATTTATACCATTGTATAGATATCAACAATTCTTTTTTAACTCTGCCCTTCAAAGAATCAAGTGTTATTCCATTTTCATATCCCCCAAAAATAAGATTTCAGATTTTAATAAGGCTTTGTTGCAGGCTAATTTATTTTGTAAAATTATTAATAAATTTTGAGTCATGTGATGGACATTCAAAATATTTATTTCTATAAACCAATATAATTATTTTGTTGATAAATGGAAGTGATGTCATCTTGTTGAGTCTTTGTGCACTGTATTCCTTTCATTGTTTCTATGTAAAACTCAATCTGATTAAAATACAGATTTATATTTTGTTTTGTTGTTTTATACTTTTGATGACCTACACTACATGAAGATCTGACCAGTTGAACTGGGAGGTTGCATCAGGGGTCATTTGAGCGGCTTTTGACCCTATGATGTCAGACAATCAATCAGCGTTGACGTTTCTAGGGGTTTACCCACACTTCCGTGCAGTGACCGTTTCATTGGCGAATTCCTCACATCAACTAGAACGCCTGTTACATGTTATAACAATCTGAAGACAAGTAAAACGAAATTTTGAACTATAAAAAACGAAACAAAATAGGATCTGTGTTTTAATCAGATTGAGTAAAACTTAACTAATATATGAATTTCTGTTGACAAGTTTCCTTGGTACAAAAGTGAAACCCAGCCAAGCTGTTTCACAGAGCTTTGTAATGATTTTGATAGCCAGCAGGCAGCAGACAAGACATTATATTTTCTATTCTAATGCCAAGAGCCATCTCAATACTTTCATCTACATTATCTATTATTACAATGTGATTTCTAGTTATATCAAGTAGATGAAGATGATGATGGGGCTCCAAAATTAACCTTCACGGTTCCTAAAGAATATGCCGATGGTTTCATCAATAATAAAAAGGACAATTATAAATTCAGGTACCAATTTACTTTCTTTGTATAATTTTTAATCAAACTTGCATCAAGAACCTGAATTTAACAGAAATTAGACCTTTTACACACAGGCACTTGAAGGGATTAAAATAAAACTTCTTACTACTCTTTGACTATATATTACAGTAATAAGCTGTAATATATAGTCAAAGAGTAGTAAGAAGTTTTATTTTAATCCCTTCAAATGCCTGTGCGTTTACAGTTCTGGTTTCTTCCTTCCATAAGGTCTAACAGTTTAAAACTAGCTGCCACTCATAGGAACTATAGTCTGAGTATGGTAGGTATTGGCAAATGAACAAGTCTAGAATGATTTGTGGTATTGAGGTAGGGGCATTAACAACATATCATTTATTGGATAGATTTGATAATGACAGAAATAAAATGTGTAATATGAAACAAACCGAATTACATTCGCCAAATAACAAGACCTTCTTTTTACAGTAATCAAATTTAAGTTGCTTTTGGTTAGAATCGCTACAGTATTTTTATTGTGGGGTTTTTTTTCCTTCAGGTTTTCCAAAGTTTTTGATCAAAAAACAACACAGGATGAAATATTTGAAAATGTTTCTAAACCGGTTATTGACAAGTATGTTACATTTTCTTCTTGCAAAAACATTTTGAATTTTGATGACTATCGGTAACATGTAAACTCAGTTTGGTTCCATATATTTATGTTGGAGTCACTTTTAATTTTAGAATACTTGTTAGTTATCTTTCAAAATTGATTCATACAATCTTGATAATAGTCATATTTTTTAAACAAAATTCTTACCCAATCCAAAATTTGCAAAAAAGTTGACTAGATGCAAATAAGAGCTCTGATGTACAATAAAACTGTGATATATATTTTCAGTGCACTACAAGGTTATAATGGTACAATATTTGCTTATGGACAGGTAATGGTTTATGTTGTTTATAGTCATATCATTTTCAAATTCAACACTTTTTAAAGATGCATTCCCGCATACAAACTCGGTGATTTGATGATATATTTGGACTAAAAACATATTCAGACTAATTAATTTATGATAATTTTGCTTCAAATCCTTCTCAAAACATTGTAATTGCCAGGGAATACCCCTGCTATAAAAAATCGATCAAAAGAGGTTATGTTTGTGTCAGGTGACTTACCTCTCTCGGTACCTAGCAAAGGGTGGGAAGCCGGAGGAGAATTCATTGCATATACAAGACGATGTTGTCGTTAATTGCTGAGTATTTATTACAAATATCATGTTGCACCATCAAGTTTATCAACATATACATCAAGCGCTTACTAATGTTGAGAGATTAGGCAATCTTCGCATGCTACCTTTGACGTTACTCGAGCAGACATCACTAATCGTCAGGTTGCCGGTTAGGGAAATCCTTACATTTTTGCCCTGTATGCACTCCATGTTTTTTTTCCCCCAGAATCCAGTATTTTTCTAGTAGGATTGGATGTTTCTACTTTCCATATATACCAAAATTGCCATACTTTTAAACAGCAATCATATTTTAATCGGTTTATGTCTGCGCCTTGCGATGAACTAGAGAGTTGCTTATAGGCTTATCATGTGAATAAATGTCTAAATAATAATTTACATAACATTTGAAGCCAATTTAAAAACCTGTTTTAAGCAGATTTAGGTCTTACATAATGCATCTATAAGGCAAATATATTTGCAACTCTCTGTATAGTTCATTAGGAGATAGGGGGGTTGGATGGCCGAATGATGTGCACTGTATCATACGGTCTGTCATTGAGTCAACTGGTGGGGTTTCGCTTGTCCAACCTTGTGGGTTTTCTCCGGGTCCTCCGCTTTCCTCCCACTGCTAAATATCCCCACACGCAAGCAAATTATTGAAATAAAATTGAACCATGTCTTAGTCCCGAAATGACCTAGTTTGTGTCAGTGGATGTTAAACCCTCTCTCTCTCTCTCTCTCTCTCTCTCATTAGGAGACCGAAATATTATGTTCATGTACATACATGTGCAAGAAGATTGTTATGAGAATGAAATGAACTAATGTAATTTGGAATGAAATGAATGAACTAATGTAATTAGGAATGAAAAAAAATGAAAATGAAATGTGGTTTTATGGCACGTCAGCACCCACCGGGCTATATTGCGCCAAAATTAGGAATGAAATGAACTAATGTAATTAGGACATCAACAAAGTAAAAGCATTGGAATATGCTAGTATTCTCCCAAAGTTTTTTAGAAATTGATGAATTCTTTTTTTAAGGTTACAGTTCAAAAATAGAAGTAACTGATATTAATTAGATTGTATATTTTAGACAGGTAGTGGTAAAACTTTTACTATAACAGGTGGAGCTGAGCGTTATGTGGATCGAGGTATCATACCAAGAACATTGTCATATATATTTGATAAAGTTGAACAGGTAAATGTAGAAAAAGGTTTTTATACGCCCACATTGAAATGTGGTTGTATATTGTCCTCGCTCCCGTCTGTTCGTGGGTCTGCCGTCCACATTTGCTTGTGGATACTCTAGAGGCTGAAGTTAATATATAATTGACTTTAAATTTATATAGTGTTTAAGGTCATAAGACGAAGAATCCTACTGATTTTCACCAATTTCCGATAATTACTGGCCCTTGAGGCTAAAATTAATATCCGATTGATATCACAGTGTTTAAGGTCATGAGACGAAGAACCCTATTGATTTTCAACAATTTCAGAAAATTACTGCCAGAGTTATGGCTTTTGATCACTTTGCAAAAATCTTGTGTACGCTCTAGAGGCTAAAGTTAATATCTGATTGACTTTAAATATATACACAGTGTTTAAGGTCATTAGACGAAGAAGCCTATTGATTTTCAATGTTTTCTGATAATTGCTGCCAGAGTTATGGCCCTTGATCACTTTGAAAAATCTTTGGATGCTTTAGAGACCATAGTTATTATCTGATTGATTTTATATTTATACACCATGTTTTTGCCTATATATAATTGTTTCGATTGACTTAAGATTGATACACAGAGTTTAAGGTCTTGATCGAGACGAACAAGTATATTGATTTTCAATGATTTTTGATAACTTGAACAGCTAAATCCATGATATTAAATGTTTTGGATACTGTTAGCATGAGCCAAACAAATTCTAATGATTTTCTGATAATTACTTATTATGAGTTGTTACTCTTAATCAGATTTTAGTGTATTATAAATGTTTCATTACTGACAAAAGTAAAAATGTGGGACAACTCTTGTTGACTGCCCGGACGATTTAGCTGCTGTGGGCATATGGTTCATTGCCTGGAAACCTATCTTTTAAAAACATAGTATTAGTAGGCATATTGATTGTCTAGCCTTATCAATAGCCCAAATTTACTGTTTAGTGTTTAAAACAATATCTCAAAAATATTGATTTGGAAAGGGTTTTGATTGTTGAATTTGTATGTTGCTCACATCAGGACATCATAGAGTACAGAGAGAATTTATGTTAAAAAATACTGGTAATATGTTTTAGCTTTGTTGTTTTGATGACTATAGCCCCTTGAATGATTAAATAATTATAATTTTGACTGTCCATTAAGATACATTACATGATTTTTTTAATATTGTATTTATAGTCATCCGATTTAACATTCACTGTTCATGTGTCTTATCTTGAGATCTACAATGACAATGGATATGATTTACTTGATCCTAAACATGAAGCAGCAAAACTGGAAGATTTACCGTAAGTTTTATGTTTACATGTAAAGATTTAGTTGACAAACAGATATTTAATATTAATTACGGATATCTAGTAATTAACATTTAATCATTGATAGTGGCTATACTATATACCGGAAAACACCGGAAAACAACCGGAAAACACCATGTTATACTGAATACCGGAAAACACCGGAAAAACACTAAATACCGGAAAACACACTAAATACCGGAAAACACACTAAATACCGGAAACCACCCTAAATAGGTAACCCAGAGAAAGGCTATGCTATAAACCGGAAACTAACCCTAACCCTAACCCAGGCACACAGAGGACCAGGCTCCCGGTTACCTATTTAGGGTGCCAGTTTCCGGGTTACCTATTTAGGGTATTTTCCGGTATTTAGTGTGTTTTCCGGTATTTAGTGTTTTTCCGGTGTTTTCCGGTATTCAGTATAAAATGGTGTTTTCCGGTTGTTTTCCGGTATATAGTATTGCCGCATTGATAGTGTTCATTTTACTTTAAATTTTGTATGCTTAATATTGATAGATCTGTTATTTTCATAGTAAAGTATCCCTTATGGAAGATTCCGACCAGAACATACACTTGAAGAATTTATCCGTGCATCAAGCTGCTTCTGAAGAAGAATCTTTAAATTTACTCTTTCTAGGAGATACAAACAGAATGATAGCCGAGGTAGAATTCAATTTTTTTACAGAAATGAATCATTAAATGCCCTAGCTGTAAACAAAGATATTGAGAAACTATTGAATAAAACCAATGTACCATTATGTTGAAAAGATATATATGGATATTGAAACTGGAACATGATTACGTTATCAGATACATTGATTGTATTTAGTCAATATATTTAACCACCATTTCCGTTCCATTATTATTGCTTGATATAGTTTCTTTTGTATACTATTATATCATCTATCTCATAAAAAATCACATTCCCCTTTTTATACATCCAACGTTTCTTGTGAATGCTCTACACAATACAGTTCTTGTTGCATGGTTTGTTCATTTTACAATGATTTGTATATGATTTATCATTTAATTTTATTTATTTGTGTTGATATGTGCTTGATAACGACATGTGAAATCTTATTGAAATGCCGCAGTGAAATAAACCATAGTAATTGTTATTAATTAATTCTGTAGTACCAAATATTTCAATTTTGACAATAATGTTATATGATGCAGAGATAATTTTGTGTTAAAATCTTTTGTCTGTTCTTTTTTCTTTTTGAATTAATCACTGTAAATGTAATATTTTATTTAATTTCAGACTCCAATGAATCAAGCATCAACACGATCTCATTGTATCTTTACCATTCATCTAACAGTCCGAGAGACAGGGTCAGCTACAATACGAAGATCTAAATTACATCTTGTAGATTTAGCAGGGTAAGAATAACAAAGGCATGGTTTGATTCTTGTATGATGCACTTTTCAATCTTTTTGAAATTATGTCCTACACTGGGATGATGGAATATAGAATAATAATTATAATGATTATATTTTATAGGTCTGAGAGGGTCTCTAAAACAGGTGTGAATGGTGTTTTATTAACAGAAGCTAAATATATTAATCTATCTCTGCATTATCTGGAACAGGTAGGTTCATATATTTTATATAGATTATGATATTGGGATTGTATGACTGGAATGCTATAAATTAAGAACAAGCAACAATGATGTCTTTTATTGTGAAACAGTATTGAATATTGAAATATAATAGTTCTCTTATTTGTTTTTATATGCTATTAAGATTTTCATTATTCTATAGTAACATCATTTTAGATTAAATAAGCTAGAATTGTTGGATCAACTTAATTGAACTGAGCGATCACAATTCTTATAACCTTTATTTTTCTGTATTGTCAAAATTAAATCTTTTATAAATATTATATTGTTTCCTTCTATTTTCAGGTTATTATATCGTTATCTGATAAAGGGAGACAACATATACCCTATCGTAACTCTATGATGACGTCAGTGTTACGAGATAGTCTTGGTGGCAATTGTATGACAACTATGATAGCAACATGTTCTGTCGAGAAGAAAAATTTAGATGTAAGTTTAATGTTTCGTTAGTTAAATGTTTTTTTTTTAATCTTTCATGTTTTTGGGGTTCTCAACTTCTGTGTACTGTAGAGTTCATTTATGTGAAGATGTTTTTATTATCTAAAAAAGTCAAGAACAGACCTTCTTTAGAAGTATTTAGATCTAGACACAAAACATACTTTTTCACAAAAGCATTCAACATGTGACAAAGTGACTCACTTTTTGGACTGCGCTTTGAGCATGCTTAGTCATGGAAACAGTGCATTATAAATAGACTATTATTGTTATTTATTATTATTATATTTTATCCATTATTTTATATAACTGTATAAAAATATATGGAGTACTATTCTATATATTTTTCATGCAGGTCTTTTTATAAATTTTGAATTCTTTTCATGGTATTGGTAGTGTTTTTATACGCCTACATTTTCATGTGGACGTATTATTGGTTTAGAAATACAACAACTAAATGAAGAAGCAAAAAAGTGAATTTAGCAAAAAATGCCAGATACGACCTTGTGTCTCCCTCCCGATGTTATACTCTATCCATCTTTTTCAAAATGTGGGCGTATCTTGCTTGACAACCGCTGGTCTGATTTAAAATAAAATGTTTGAATATATCATTATTAGTATCCTAATGATGGTCGAGTTCGAATTAAATGAAAATTGGACCAAAACTGCCAGACAAAATGACCGCCCTCATACACAAATAGTGTAAAAATATGGTATATCAAGGTTGTGGACCATCTAGAGGCCACAATTTTGATTCGATTTTGAAGAAACTTTAGACTTATGTTTATATGTTTATATCACAAAGATCTTGGTTCTTTTCAATAATTGTACATATCTGAACGGAACTTTATGGATTATGGCCCTGATTGTTCGAAAAATTGCATTTTTAGCTTGTGGACCCGCTAGAAGTCACAATTTGTATTCAATTTTAAAAAATGTTTAAATATATCACGGTTACACATCAATGAAGATTGAGTTCAAATTTCTTAAAAATGTATCCGAAACTGCCGGACAAAATGGCCGCTCCTTTATGAAAATAAAAGTATGTAATACCAAGGTTGTGGACACTCTAGAAGTCACAAATTTTATCGGATTTTAATGAAACTTTAAATGTATGTTTATAATCCAAAGATCTTGGTTCCTTTTGATATTTGCGAATATCGGACTGTAACTTCCTGGATTATGGCCCTTGATTGTACAAAAAATCACGTTTTTATACGCCCACATTTTCATGTGGACGTATATTGTCGTCGCCACTGTCCGTCCGTCCACAATTTGTTTGTGGACACTCTACAGGTCACAATTCTTATCCGATTTTGACAAAACTTGAAATATAGGTTTATGTCCAAAAGATCTCAGATCGAAACTTCATGGATTATGGCCCTTGTTTGTACGAAAAATCACATTTTTAGCTTGTGGATCCTATAGAGGTCACAATTTTAATCCTATTTTGATGAAACTTGAAATGTAAGTTTATAACCCAAAGATCTCGGTTCCTTTAGATATTCGCGCATATCGGACCGTAATTTCCTGAATTATGGCCCCTGATTGTACGAAAAATCAAGTTTTTAGCTTGTGGACCCTATAGAGGTCATAATTTTTATCCTATTTAAAAAACTGTATCATTATATCACTGTTACACCCTAAGGACGTCTAAGTTCAAATTTCGTGAAAATCGGCCCAAAACTGACAGACAAAATGGCCGCCCTTCGTTCTCAAATAGCGTAAAAATATGGTATATCAAGGTTGTGGACCCTATAGAGGTCACAATTTTAATTCTATTTTGATGAAACTTGAAATGTAAGTTTATAACCCAAAGATCTAGGTTCCTGTCGATATTCGCATATATCGGACCGTAAATTCCTGAATTATGGCCCCTGATTGTACGAAAAAAACATGTTTTTAGCTTGTGGACCCTATAGAGGTCATAATTTTTATCCGATTTGAAAAACTGTATTATTATATCACTGTTACACCCTAAGGACGACTGAGTTTAAATTTCGTGAAAATCGGCCCAAAACTGACAGACAAAATGGCTGCCCTTCGTTCTCAAATAGCGTAAAAATATGGTTTATCAAGGTTGTGGACCATATAGAGGTCACAATTTTTATCCGATTTTGTTGAAACTTGAAATGTAAGTTTATAACCCAAAGATCTCGGTTCCTGTCGATATTAATGCATATCGAACCATAACGTACAGAATTATGGCCCCTGATTGTACGAAAAATCATGTTTTTAGCTTGTGGACCCTATAGAGGTCATAATTTTTATCCGATTTGTAAAACGTTCAAATATATCACCATTACACCCTAAGGATAGTTGAGTTCGAATTTTGTAAATATCGGATTAAAACCAACAGACAAAATGGCCGTCCCTCGTACTCAAATAGTGTAAAAATATGGTATGTCAATGTTGTGGACCGTCTAAAGGTCACAATTTTCTTTTGATTTTGATGAAACTTGAAATTTAAGTTAATAACCCAAAGATCTTGGTTCCTTTCGATATTTGGCATATTGGATAGTAACTTCCTGAATTATGTACGAAAAATCGCGTTTTTAGCTTGTGCTCCTTGTAGAGGTCACAATTTTTATCTGATTTAAAAAAAAATGTGTGAATATATCACTATTACACTCTAAGACCATGGATCCTTTTGATAATCGCGGATACCCAAACTTAACTTCCTGGATTATGGCCCCTGATTGTTCGAAAAATGGCATTTTTAGCTTGTGTATTCTCTAGATGTCACAATTTTTTCCGATTTTAAAAACCGTTTAAATATTCCACCATAATGAAGGTTGAATTCAAATTTCGGCAAATTCGAAATTGAACTACCCCACATAATGGCCGCTCTTCGTACGCAAATTGTGTAAAAGTATGCAATACGAAGGTTGTCGACCCTCTAGAGGTCACAATTTTTGTCTGATTCTGATGAAACTTAAATCATATCTTTATATCCCAAAGATCTCAGTCCCTTTTGATATTTGCGCATTTCAGACCATAATTTTCTGGATTATTGCCCCTGATTGTACAAAAAATCCCGTTTGTTTTTAGCTTGTTCTCTATCCATCGCTTGCAAAATGTGGGCGTGTCCTGCCTGGCAGCCGCTGGTTAGTTCATATACAATCAGATTACATCATTATATGCGTTGCGACCCATTTGGGTCAATTTTTAGGTCCCAAATATTAGCGATTTAGCTCCTTTAAGAATCAGTCTGCATTAGCCCAATTGATGGGTAGTTTGTCAATACATTGGAACATGATGTATCTTGATTTTTTAAATTAAGTAATGATAAAACACTCCCCTTCTATTTCACGAATCTATATCAACATGTTGATTTGCTCAGCGTGTATCTTGATTTTTTAATTAATTAATGATAAAACACTCCCTTTCTATTCTTTCTATTTTAGGAATCTATATCAACATGTCGATTTGCTCAGCGTGTGGCTATGATAAAGAATGATGTTTTATTAAATGAAGAGTTAGATCCAAAGCTAATGATTTTAAAATTAAAACGTGAAATACAGGAATTAAAAGATGAACTTGCAATGGCAACCGGCGAACAAAGAACAGAACAATTAACAGAAGAAGAAGTAGAAAGGTAAACTTTTGATTTCATGCATCTAAATCATTATTCCATGTGAATTATTTTCCAGTAATTACTTGACTGGTCACATAGTGCTTATTATTAAGAATATTATGCATTTGCTTCAGACACAGATTAGATTTATATTTTTTTTCTGACCTAAACAGTACCTAATGCTTACAGGTATCAATCATATTATTCAGTCATATTTAATATTGTCATACATTTTGTACAGTACTTTAAGAATTTGTATTATTTTATTCTAACAGATGTGAAGAGGCTGTCAGTAATTATATCAATGACTCGGATCCAGAAGCTATTTTATGTGTGGGAGCCGACATGAGAAAAATTCATAACTGTTTTAAAATATTAAAGGTAGTTTTATTCTTAAATTAAAAACTACTTAGACATTAATTGATCTTTGGCTTAGTATATTTATATGATCCAAATGCTGTATTGATTTTAAAGAGATATAGAATAGAAGTAAACGAGTAATAGTCTGCTAAGGGAGACAAATCTGACAAGGGAAATATTTGTTCTTGTACAAATGTTATTCTTTCAGATTTGAAACACATTCAGTTTAATATAAGTTTAATGATTAAATTAAAATTTATGAATGAAAACAATTTCAGAGTCGTATATCAGAGAGACCAAGCAGTAAAAAGAGTAAAAGTCCGCCAAGGGAAGCAACTCCTGTTGATACCGGTCCTTATAATAATTCAGAAAATCAGAGATTAAAAGAATTAGTATTACAGAGAGATAATGAGATTAGTATCCTTATAAATTATGATGTGTATCTGGTTGGTTATTACATCCATTAAACCAGCGGCTGCCAGACAGGATACGCCCACAACTTGCAAGAGATGGATAGAGAACAAGCTAAAAACAAACACAATTTTTTGTACAATCAGGGGCAATAATCTAGAAAGTTATGGTCTGAAATGTGCAAATTTTAAAAGAGACTGAGATCTTTGGGATATAAAGATATGTTTTAAGTTTCATCAAAATCGGATAAAAAAAAATGCGACCTCTAGAGCGTCCACAACTTTGATATACCAGATGTTTGCACTATTTGCATACGAGGGGCGGCCATGATTTTCATGAAATTCAAACTCAGACAAAATTACGGTGTAATGGTGACATATTCGAACGTTTTTTTAAAAATCGGATAATAATGGTGATCTCTAGATTTTTAGTACAATCAGGGGCCATAATTCAGGAAGTTACGATTCAATATGTATGAAAATCAACAGGGACCAAGATATTTGGGTTATAAACATGCATGGCAAGTTTCACCAAAATCAGATGAAAATTGTGACCTCCAGAGGGTCCACAACCCTGATACACAATATTTTGACAATATCTGCGAACGAGGAACGGCCATTTTGTCCGTCAGTTTCAGTCTGATTTTGCGAAATTCGTAGGGGGGGTGGATGGCCAAATGGTTAGCACGCGCGCGCTGTATCATATGGTCTGTCATTGAGTCAACTGGGTCCTCCGGTTTCCTCCCACTGCTAAAGACCCCTACGCGCAAGCGAATGATTGAAATAAAATTAAAAACCATGTGTTAGTCCCGAAATGACCTAGTTTGTGTCGAGTGGACGTTAAACCCCACATCTCTCTCTCACAAAATTCAAACTCAACTATCCTTAGGGTGTAACAGTGATATATTCACACTTTTTTTTAAATCGGATAATCCATGAAGTTACAGTCCAATACATGCCAATATCGAAAGGAACCGAGATCTTAGGTTGACAAACCTATATTTCAAGTTTCATTGAAATCGGATAAAAATTGTGAACTGTAGAGTGTTCACAAACAATTGTGGACGGTCGGACGGACAGGGGCGACGACAATTTACGTCCACATGAAAATGTGGGCGTATAAAAATCAAAACGGTCAATTAAATATATGTTATTTGATAAGAATGCAGTGATATATATGTAGATAAATTTTATAACATTTTGTTTGTATTGACAAAGGCAAATTTTAGTCATTTTGATTTACGTCTGGATTGACCTTTTTTAGTTTTCCTCATCTGCAGAGGATGCTCAATCTTGGGAAATTTTCAAGTCACTATATCTTGAAATACTGAATAGAATTGAACTGTTTTTAGACTGATAATCCTTTAAGAAGAGGTAAACAAAATAGAACGAATAACTTAACAAAATTCAGATATTTTGGTTAATATGTTAAAAAAAGAAAAGAAGAGAGCAGCAAGTAACAAACTGACTAACCTTAATAGTGGGTCAAGGTCACCAGTAAGTGAAGACGGTGACATTAATGGACATTTAAAATCATCCAGTAGACCATCTTTGAATGGGGAGAGAAAGAATCAACGTAGATTATCCAGTCGACAGATTCTAGAAGAAGATGAAGAAGTTGTTACTACAAGTCGTAGAGAACGTGAAAAGTTAAAATTACGACAGGAAATGGACGAACGACGTAAAACTAAAATATGTAAGTAGTCCACATGTTTTAAATGGAAATTACTTTTTTGTTCTTATATTGATTGATAACGATAATGATTTAAAACTAAAATAATTAATTAACCCACATATTATATACTTTTAAATGGAGATTACATTTTTGTTTTTGTTGATGATAATTTATATGGATGTAAGACGCATTCAAATGTTAGAACAATCCCAATATGGACTTTTTCAATACTGATTCATGATGAAATTCTCTCTAAAGATGCACAAGACAAGAAATGATGCATTGATACACTTCACCCAAATAATCTAGTATTATGGAATAATGTGAATTAATCCTGTTACTTTCTAGAGAATCAATCCAACTGTCTGCTGATCAGGGTTCACAGAACTGGCATGAATTACACCAATCCTGACACAGAAAAATAATTTGATAACATTTGCTTGTAAAGCTCTTTGGAGAAGACAATGTTATGTAAAAAAAATTTTAATATTAATTATTATATATCTAGTGGGAAAGATGTCAATGGGACGACAAGAAGCATTTGATCTGTTTTTACGAGATTATGAACATAATGATGCAATTGAGGAAAACAAAGCAAGATTGAAAAAGAAATATTCTAAAGCTAAATCATATGGTGAACAATTGAATCAAGCTAAAACTAATATCAGTAAGTAAGCTTATTTAAGTTTAATTAGTCTTTTATTTAAAATGTTTCATAATTTTGTTATTTACTGATTAAAGATATTCTTTGAATTGGAACATAATCAAATATAACACTATTTATTGATAACAATCACTGTGGTTTATTTCACACAGTGTTTCAACAAGATTTTACAGGTCATTATCAAGCATATATCAACACAAATAAATAAAATGAATTGTCAGATTTTACACATTTTGTGCCTATGGTTATTTCATTTTATTTATTGATAAAGACAGAGATGTATCTACTTTATACTTCGAGAAAAAATATCTGTCCTGAATGGCCGCCATATCCAAAAATTAGTATATTGTTTTGTAATGCGGTTTCTTACATGTGACATCTGACATACACACAAAGACTAAATAAACCTATTCAATTCCATTAAATGGAAGCAGAATAAATTACTTCTCAAATTTCTCGAAGTATCCTTAGTGTTTTCGACTAAAATCGTCAAGTTATGACTTGAAATGTCGGTCAACTAGCTTAGTGTATGTTCAAGCGGAGCTCCAGTCTTCATTAGCCCAGTTTAGGAGCAGAACAGTAGAACGTTAAACCCCATTTCATTTCAAGCGGAGCCAGCTGTAGACAGACAGCCTATGTGTAATATGGATAATGACTTGCTAAATCTTGTTGAAGTGTCATAGTGAAATAAACCATAGTAATTGTTATCCATTAATAGTGTTTTACTATATAACGATGTAAGAAATCCTGTTAAAACATTGCACATTTGTTCCTTCTTGTCTGGTAACTTTTTAATCCTTATATAATCTGATTACAGAAAGCATGTATACATAAAGTTATTGTTCTTGTATCATATTTATTGTAGAGTTTATTAAGTTTTCTCATCGAAATCTGAACCAATATTTTGGCTTCTTTTTATACGCCCACATTTCAATGTGGGTGTATATTGTCGTCAGTCCGGCATCCACAATTGCTTGTGGACCTCTAGAGGGTAAAGTTAATACACAGTGTTTAAGGTCATCAGACAAAGAATCCTATTGATTTCTGATAGTTAATGCCAGAGTTATGGCCCTTGATCACTTTGAAAAATCTGATAGTTAATGCCAGAGTTATGGCCCTTGATCACTTTGAATAATCTCGTGGACGCTCTAGAGGTTAAAGTTCATATCCGATTGTCTTTAAATTTATACACAGTGTTTAAGGTCATTAGACCATAGTTATCATCTGATTGATTTTATATTTATTGTTATATAGTGCTCTTCTTGTATATAATATATACCGGTACCATTCACAGTACCAGTTTAGTTCTGAGAGTAGTATCTCTTAAATATTCATGTATTTAAATAGATAGAAGACTATATAAGTTTAGAGATTTGTATAGCAACTAAAAAGAGAGAGAACGAGAGAGAGAGAGAGACAGATATAGAAAGCGTAGCGAGTAGTTCTTTCTGATTATACTAATATACTCACTTAGCACAAAGGATATTACTTTAAATGATATTGTGTGCTTTAGTGTTTTCTACACCAACCCCCACAAACAAATTCTAATGATTTTCTGATAATTACCGACAAAAGTAAAAATATGCCACAACTGTTGTTGACTGCCTGGCCGATTTAGCTGCTGTGGGTGTATGTTTCGTTGCCTGACAACCTATCTTTTTTTTTTCAGATCACCTAAAGAGTAAAATAGAACAACACAGAATGCACCTGGCTATGAACGGATTAACTGATCCAGATAATCCTCAACCTGATGATGTAGAACAACATCTACGAGAACAAATGGAGGCAGAAAAGGATTTGTAAGTCTAAATTCACTCATTAGATTGTGGAATAGGATTAATGAAAGATAATAATGATAGAGAACTCATATGCTTTACCTATGACTTTGGAATTGGAGTAGGTATTTATTACAGTTTAGAAAATAAGTAGAATTTTGGGTCTCTTTGTCATTTTATAAGTATTGTTTAACTTACAGATATAAAGAAACATTCTCTAAACTAAAGAATTTGAAAACAGAGATTGAACATCTACAACATTTTCTAGAGAAGTCAAAAGTTAAATTGATGAAAGATTTTGAATTATGGTGGGTAGAACAGAGCCAGAATACACAGGTAAATAGTCGTCAACTTGAAATAGGGCAACAATCCAAATTGTTTACAGTGTGATTGTTTCAAAACTTTGTCAGTCAGACATTTCTAGTTAATGACCCTGCAATTGAAATAATACAAAATAGGCACACCTGCTTGATATAACATAAATATTTAGGCTAATTTAAAACCACCAATAAAATCATTAATTACAACTATAAGTATAGTTTCATTTGCAATCAATGTAGCTTACACTACATATGTAAAAACAAATTCAATCTTTTAAAAATCATAAATTGTTTTTTTTTATCAAATACCAGTGCAAGTAAAGTAACTGGTCAGGATGGAATTTATGTTTATCTTTACATTTATTTATTATAGGGCAAATTATTGCAAAAGATGCATTCAATTTCAATGACACTGTACAGTACATAAATATACTTATGATTAATTAATTTGGGAATGTCCTTTGAAAGAGATATATATATCTATAGCAATTTAAACTATCTTTTAATTTAGAGTTTTTTTTATACTGTTGGTTAAATCATTCCAAAACCAGATTCTCCATTGTGGACCAATTTTCCTAAACTTTGAGAATAATGGGTATTGCATGACTGATATGACTGTCGATACTTGATCGTGTGAAAAAGTACAACAAATATGTTGCAATAGAATTCTTTGTTTCACATCGTTGATAAGATTCTTCCAAGTGAGCAAGAAAATAACTCTAGAAGTAATTAAGGAAAATTGTTAAAATTTGCATATAATGCAAATAAATTTCAAGCAGATAAGATGAAAATTGTTATCTTTTTTTCATGAGATTCTAGATTGTTGAAATTTAATAGGATTCTTGGTTTCACCAATCTAATGCCAATCAATTTCAAGTTGTTGGTCCAAAAATTTAGATTTCCCTGACTTACACCATGACTTGAATGTCAGCCCGCATCACCCTCATTTGCTTCATCACAACTTTTAGTTTTTAAACATATTCTTAAATTACTTACCTTTTGAAAATTACATATTACTAGTCTTTATGAATCATATGTGTTGGAATATTGTCTGTGGCTGTGTCAACTTCATCTGTGCATAGAACTGTACAAGAATAATATTTTCCTCTTGATGCTTGTTCTTCTGGATATATTGAATTACTGACTGTAGGGTACTAGATAAGTATATTGTACTTAAACATACATTATGCAAGAGCTAAATCTGCCTATTTCAGGTCTATCTTTAGGCCTGAAATGTTATCTAAATTATTAATTGGACATTAATTAATTTATCCAGGCCATAATCAACTCTCGATGTCATCGCTAGCCTGCGATATTTACTGGATTGGAATCCGATCTGCTGTTCAACGCTCATTGATGATTAAATCAAAAATGGATAACCGAGACTATGTTTTTTATTGTACCGACTTTAGTAATAATGATCGAGGCTAGGCCTAAAATTCAATCGCTAAATTCTCGGTTAAGAGCGGATCAATGTGACTGAAATTTTCAGCAAATTCCCTTTACATTATCTAGTTTTTATAGTGAGAACTGCCAGCTCTTTATCTAATCTCCCATAATGTATCTTAAATATTTTGTAATTGACAAAAAGGAAACAACAGAAAGTTGTGTAAAATTGATTTGATTACCTGATGATACATGAAACCCAGCATATCTCGATCTATCACACTGATTGAGAGATACAAAGAAGACTCGCGCTGACCATGATTGGCCTCCCTTTCTATCTAGAAAGCCGTACATGCATAGGATCGGGTGTAACTAGCATCTATAGCGGGGACAGATCACCTCATACATCATACACCCGCCAAATGACTGGATGACCAGAATCCCTAAGATGCGACTCACTGAACATATACATGGATTCTTCCCCTGGATTTCGCACACCATCAAGTCCTAGATTATTCTGTGTTAGTTTTGTGTAAAACTTAACATTCTAAATTTAAAATGATAAAATTGATAGTCTATATAATTAAGAGTATGGGTAGCCTACAGTTTTTATCACAAATACTGAAGGGACATTAATGCATTAAGTTTGTTCTTTAAATTTATAGTGTTGGTTGTAGTGGTACAGTGGAAAAAAGGTTGTGTGCATATATTTGGGGATGGGTTAATTAATTGGTGAACCTATTATTTCAAAACATGTCAGTCTAACTAAAACAAAGAAATTGTTGTTGTTTCTTACTGTACCAGTAGGCCTAAATTTGATGGGGTTTGGTTGGGGTTATTTTTTAGAAGGGGTGTTGAGGAGTAAATACAGGCCACTTTCTCATTCTATTGACCATTGTTTCTTAGATATTTCTTAATTTCCTAAGACAGCTGCATTACCCAAAATCTCAGAATTAGCAGGAAAAATAGCATTGCCTTCTTTTTGTTTAGCTAATAAACCTTTCCCAATGTTTAATATTGCCTCCTTTTTGTTTAGTCAATAAACTTTTCCCTCTTAATTTTTCTTATTCCCCTTTATTGTCTTCTCACAAAGGTAAACTCAACTGACCCCAAATATAGGCATAGACTTGCACGTGTATGTAGGCTAGCAGAAGTCAATTTTAGGAGATAACTCTTATTGCTTTCTAATTGGTCTGGTTAACATTTCTTAAAATGCCTTTCACTTGTTTCAGACAAATGTTACAAAATGCCTTGTGTTTAATTTCATTGAATATTTAATAGGCTTTATAAATCTTACTGTTCAAGATTTGTTTTGAAAACATGATTGATTTGTATTAAAGTCTAATTTTTTTTTCATTGATTGAAATGAATTTCAAGTTATGGTTAGGCCTATGTTGTAGATATTTTTTTTAATTAACTATTTATGAATAGACTGAATGAATACATGTATTAATAAACCTACATTGTAAAGGCTGATTTGAAATTATGTTTGATATGTTATAAGAATATTTTGTGGATGCTCTTGAAATATTTAGAGAAATTTATCTATTTTAAATTTAAACTGAGTTATCTCCCTGTTTACTAATTTACTGCTGAGTGCTGATAGGCATATCTTGGTTCAGACTGACAAGCCCCAAATTCATCGGCCAATCTATGTCTCTTATTTATGACCCACTAGCAGTTTGATTTTAATCCCGAAAACTTTTTCACAACAGCATTATCCTTACATCAAAAATGTAAATACATTGGTAATAAATTTTACAGTTTGAGAATTATGAGAATTACCCCCAAAGTATTTAGCTAATTTCTGTGTTTTTAATTTATATTTTATCCAGGAACATGTCCCTCAATCTGTCGCAGACAATAATGTAAAAACAGCCTGGAGAACACCACCACTGACTCCTTTACAACATACCACATCACAACGAAACTATTCACAAGAATTAATAACTCCGTCCAGTTCTACTTCATCCATTTCTCAACCATTATTATCATCTAGGTCACGGAATGACATGGCTCGCAACATCGCAGCTAATTTATATTCAGCAGGAAATGATGTTACCAGAGATTATCAATTACATAATTCAGTTAGAACCAGCCAAAAGTATCAGTAAGTAAATTATTTTCTTATAAAGAAATAATGAGATATTTTCTAGGATTCATGCAAACTGAAAGATGTGCTGGATCTCAGCCCACCAAAATCTTTAAATGGGGACAGTATTAGTGGCATTGTGGGGCTTTTTGCTCAGACTAATTTAACCTGTGAATAAAGCCAAAGAACAAATCATCTCTTTGTTAGTGTTTGATAAACCCTTAGATCATGTAATGGAGATTGTGAAGAACCACATGAAAAGCCATTATCTCCTGGACAAGAAAAATATTTTAATAAGATAGCACAATTAGAAAAATTTGAACTATTTTAAAACATAGAAATTTGTACTTTAATATTGTGTCTTTAATTATTTATTCTGTTTCAACAGAACACCGTCCGGACTCAATGATGATATACCTTTAACAGGTGACCCAGAAGCAGATGCAGATATCAAAGCTTTCATTAAAGCCAGGCAAAATCTTCTACAGAAAAGTGAGTATATTATTAGCGCTTTACTTTGGTGCAAATCACAAATAAGGAGAGTCTAGTATACATCCCTATCCAGGTATCAGTAGTGACACGTGCTGTGCATGAAGCAGGTTATGCTTGCTGTTTCTAGAACACCTGTTATCATTTCTCATTTATTCTTGAACATCAAATAGCTAATAGAAAAAAATTCTATATACTATACTATATGTAGGCTATCCATGAAACTAACACAGACATTTGAAGAATGCAGATTTCTTTTGACAAAGACCAGAAACGTCGTCCAGAAATAAACATAGTTTTATTGCATAGAAATATATCCTGTGTATAACCAATTCAGAAACTAAATGTTACTGAAATGCAGTGATTATTTATTTACTACTGGTATTAACAATTTTAACCACCATTAAGTAAGCACAAATATTGAGGCTTCACTGCAGTAGTTATTATTTTCTTATAATTTCTGCATTTGAGATCTCTAAATTAAAATTAAAGGAACTTGGCTGTAAATCAATTCTGTATCATTTTGACCATTCAGATTTTAAACATCTCTTGCGTTAACATATATACTGCAACTGGTGATCAGATATATAATTGATAAATTTTTAATTTACTGTATTATTTGAACCAACCACTGACCTAAAGCATTTTATTTTTATCATACTTTTTCATGTAAATAGATTTTCAAAACTTTATTGTTGGTTTTATTTTCAGCTCAGCAAGGCAGCTGATACTGCAATAAATAAATAAAGACATTTTTAGATGTAAACACATGCTTCATTCACAGAGAATATAGCTCATCCAATGAACAAATAAGCATTCATAAAAAAGGTGTTAGTTAAAGGTGCATTATGTAAGATTTAGATAAAGAGCTGGTCATTCTTGCCTTGATATAATAGTTCAAAAATAGATGAAAAGTTATGATTGTCTGAAAATATAATGTAGATTGTTTATTATCGTAACCCTATACCCACTTGCAACAGCTTACGGTTTGTTTTTGTTTTTTTCGTTTGTTTTTTAGGACAATATTGGTGCCAGTCGTTATCACATATTTGATAGAACTGGTTAAACACATTCCAAATATTATTTTAACACAGAGATCATTGCTACGATAGAAGCAATCGGAAGTGACGAACACAAAAGGAAAACACGAGTAATCCCTCTATATAACTGATTTAAGTGACGGGTGATAACAGGTACATGGGCGAATTTCTGCCCACTAATAATTCCTTCGAAGAACAAAAGTTGTTATATGAGACTGTAAGAGTATATCTGACAATTCAAAAAAGTAATTGAATGTCATTAGATAAGAGAACACGAATAAAGTAGAAACAGTGCGTACATTCACGCATGTTTATTCATTCTATCCCTATAAAAACATGGTAATGCACAGACTTTTTCTATTTTTCTTTCATGTTCTCTTATCTAGTAACAGTCAATTTTTTTATGAATTGTCAGATATCCTTTCACAGTCTCACACAACAACTTTTGGTCTTCGAAGGAATTATTAGTGGGCAGAAATTCGCCCATGTACCTGTTATCACCCGTCACTTCAATCAGTTATATAGAGGGATTACTCGTGTTTCTCTTTTGCGTTCGTCACTTCCGATTGTTGAAACATTGATTCCACATATATCGTAGCAATGATCTCTGTGATAAAATAATATTTGGAACGTGTTTAACCAGTTCTATCACATACATGTATATGATAATGACTGGCACCAATATTGTCCTTTAAGGCCACCATGGGACTTAATGAACCTTTCCTTAACCCTGGCTTGGAAAGTGATTTATCTCTCCAGGTGGACATGGGGAGGGAATGGTTTTATGGAGCATTTGACACCAATGGGAATAAAAAGTGTATTTATCATGAAAAGTGTATTTATCTGTGATATAATCCAGAGAAAACACTGACAGTTTCTATTTATTGATATGTCAAAAAATGATTGTATAAATTCTATATATTGATTTATAAAACCGGTATATATTGTTGATATGAACTCATTGTTGCATTAATTTATTATCAAGTTTTAATAATTATTATATTGAATGTAATTATATTATTAGGTCATAAACCATGCCCATAAGTTATAATACATTGTATATAAAAATCTGTAATTCTTTATTAAAGATACATTATGGGAGATTAGATAACGAGTTGGCAGTTCTCACTATAATAGTTAACAAGAGCATCGCTAACGCAGCAATATACGTCCACATTCCTGTTTTGTTTGATATGGTCCAGTTTGCATTGAGGGTCTGTGAAATAAAACTGGGTTGTAGGACTGCTATCAGTATAACATTTCGTTCACATTAACAGAACACAATTTTTATTTTAAAACAATCGATGTCTTTATTCTAAAAGCATGACGTTTTTTTTTTGTTTTTTTTTGCTTGATTGATAACGATAAGAGAATACTTGTGGAAACGTCGTGCTTTTAGAATAAACTAGTGATTGTATCCCATAAAAACTGTGTTCTGTTAATTTGTTCCCTGATCGCTAAATGCCACTTAAAGAATAACTAGAAATGGGCGTGGCTCTGCCCCTGGGGGTCGGGCATGCACCAAAAACAATAGGGATCTTCCTTGGGGTATAAGGAATAAGTATACCAAGTTTGAAGAAAATCCAGTAAGAATTGCGCCCTGTAGGCGACACAAAGACACACGAAAAGAAAATGGGCGTGGCTCTGCCCCTGGGGGTTGGGCATGCACCCCAAACGATAGGGATGTTCCTTAGAGTACAAAGAATGTGTATGCAAAGTTTCAAGATTATTAGTTAAGAAATGTGGCCTGTAGACGACAAACAAACAAATACTAGAAATGGGCGTGGCTCTGCCCCGGGGGGTCGGGCATGCACCAAAAACAATAGGGATCTTCCTTGGGGTATAAGGAATAAGTATACCAAGTTTGAAGAAAATCCATGAAGAATTGCGCCCTGTAGGCGAACCACAGACACACACACACACACACACACACACACACACACACACACACACACAGACAGGGGCGACGGCATAATACGTTCACATTATGAATGTGGACGTATAAAAACTACATAATGTAAAGGCAACTTGCTGAAAATTTCAGTCAAATTGATCCACTATGAACCGAGAACCAAGCGGATGAAAGTTCGGCTTAGCCTCGATCATCATTACTGAAGACGATAAGACAAAACTAATAGTCTTGATTATCCATTTAATCGTTAATCACGAAGGAAATTTTTGCAGCAAATCGGACTGTAATCCAACAAATATCGCAGGCAAGCCTTGACATCGAGAGCTGATTATGGTCTGGATAAGTTAATTAATGTCTAATTAATAGTTTTTATAACATTTCAGGCCTAAAGAAAGACCTACAATAGGCCGATTTTGCTCTTGCATAATGTATGTTTAACTAAGTCAAATGAATTTCTTTCATGCCTTATGAAAACCACTTTGTCAGTTTCAAATTAATGAGTTGGCAAGACATTTAACAAACCACATTATGTTCATCAGTATCATTACATGTATTGTTTGTCGTGATATAATTATGCCAAAAAAGTTTTGTAACATCTTGATTCCTGTACTTTCAAAAGAGATCTAGTGTATATAGTGCAACAATGTCAATGAACTTATTAGATTATACTTTTCATTAGTTTTATATCTGAAAGATCTTAAAGGTGTACGCAAAATGTCATATTCTTAAAGATGCATTGTGTAAGATTTAGATAAAGAGTTGTCCGTTTTTGCTATAATAGTTTAAAAATATATAATAAACCAGCGGCTGCCAGGCAGGAAAAGCCCACATTTTCGAGAGATGGATAGAGAACAAGCTAACAAGAAAGTGATTTTTCCTACTATCAAGGGCCATAATTCAGGAAATTACAATTCAATATGCGCGAATATATCGAAAGGAACTGACATCTTTGTGTTATAAACTTACATTTCAAGTTTCAACAAAATCGGATAAAAATTGTGACGTCTATAGGGTCCACAACCTTGATATATCGTATTTTTACGCTATTTGAGAACGATCGGCGGCCATTTTGTCTGTCAATTTTGGGTTGATTTTCACGAAATTCGAATTCAATCGTCCTTAGGGTGTAACAGTGATATAATAATACAGTTTTTTAAATTGGATAAAAATTATGACCTCTATAGGGTCCACAAGCTAAAAACATGATTTTTCGTACAATCAGGGGCCATAATCCAGGAAGTTACGGTCCGATATGCGCGAATATCGAAAGGAACCGAGATCTTTGGGTTATAACCTTACATTTCAAGTTTCAACAAAATTGGATAAAAATTGTGACCTCTATAGGGTCCACAACCTTGATATACCATATTATTACGCTATTTGAGAACGAACGGCGGACATTTTGTCAGTCAATTTTGGGCTGATTTTCACGAAATTCAAACTCAGCCGTCCTTAGGGTGTAACGGTGATATAATAATATGTTTTTTTAAAACGGATAAAAATTATGACCTCTATAGTGTCCACAAGCTAAAAACACGATTTTTCGTACAATCAGGGGCCATAATTCAGGAAGTTATGGTCCGATATGCGCGAATATCGAAAGGAACCGAGATCTTTGGGTTATAAACTTACATTTCAAGTTTCTATAGGGTCCACAAGCTAAAAACGTGATTTTTCGTACAAACAGAGGCCATAATCCATGAAGTTTCGATCTGATACATGCCAATATCGAAAGCAGCCGAGATCTTTTGGAGATAAACCTATATTTCAAGTTTCGTCAAAATCGGATAAGAATTGTGACCTCTAGAGTGTCCACAAACAAATTGTGGACGGACGGACGTTCAGACGTCCGGACGGACAGAGGCAACGGCATAATACGTCCACATGAAAATTTCTTTATTCTGAGTAAACTTATGAATGTTTAAAGTTTGAACAAACCAGCAGCTGCCAGGCAGGATACGCCCACATTTTGCAACAGATGGATAGAGAACAAGCTAAAACAAAAAGTGATTTTTCATCTAATCAAGGGTCATAATTCAGGAAGTTACGATCAGATATGTGCAAATATCAACAAGAACCAAGATCTTTGGGTTATAAAGATATATTTCAGGTTTCATCAAAATTGTGACTTCTAGAGGGTCCACAACCTTGATATACCTTATATTTACACTATTTGCGTACGAGAGGCGGCCATTTTGTCCGGCAGTTTTGGTCTGATTTTCACAAAATTCGAACTCAGCCGTCATTAGCGTGTAACAGTGAAATATTCAAACGTTTTTTTCAATTGGATAAAAATTGTGACCTCTAGAGGGACCACAAGCTAAAAGTGCAATTTTCCGTTACAATCAATGGCCATAATTCAGGAAGTTATGATCCGATATGCACGAATATCTAGAGAAACCAAGATCTTTGGGTTATAAACATGCATTTAAAGTTTCATCAAAATCATATGAAAATTGTGACCTCTAGAGTGTCCACAAGCTAAAAACGTGATTTTTCATACAATTAGGGGCCATGATCCATGAAGTTATGGTCCGATATATGCCAATATCGAAAGGAACCAAGATATTTGGGAGATAAATCTATATTTTAAGTTTCGTCAAAATCGAATAAAAATTGTGACCTGCAGAGTGTCCACAAACAAATTGTGGATGGACAGGGGCGACGACAATATAGTACCATTGCCATGATAAAAGAAGAGCGATTTTCAGTCCTTCAGTCAGTTCTCTGCATATGTAGCATTCATATTAATGTTTAATTGAGATACGGCGAATATTATCTAATCTACCTAATATCTAAGCCATCCAATGTTCTAGAGAGTTGATTATGAGCTTGTCATGTGAATAAATTTCTAAATAACAATTTGAAGCCAGAAAAAAAACCTGTATTCGGCAAATTTAGCTCTTACATAATGCATTTTTAAAGTCATGTAAATTAAAAATAAAACAGCATTACAATTAAACATAAGAATGATTAGTTCTTAAATTTGTGCATTCTTTGAAATATTGTCTTCTTATATCTGTGAACAATGTACATTTGACTTCTAATTAATTTTCTTTTCTTAGAATTTATAATTTTTTTACCATAAATTAATGAACGATAGCATCACAGCTTGGATTAGAAATAGTCTGTGTGCTGTAGACCTTTTAGGTCATACAACCTCGGCA